TCCCAGTAGTGGGATGGCTGGATCATAGGGCATCTCTATTTTTAATTCTTTGAGGAATCTCCATACCGTTTTCCATAGAGGCTGCACCAATTTGCATTCCCACCAGCTGTGTATGAGGGTTCCTGTTTCTCCACATCCTCTCCAACATTTGTTGTTTTTTGTCTTGGTGATTATAGCCATTCTAACAGGCGTGAGGTGGTATCTTAGTGTTGTTTTGATTTGCATTTCCCTGATGATTAGTGATGTTGAGCATCTTTTCATGTGCCTATTGGCCATCTGTATATCTTCCTTGGAGAAGTGTCTGTTCATTTCCTCTGCCCATTTTTTGATCGGGTTGTTTGTTTTTTTGTTGTTCAATTGTGTGAGTTCTTTATATATTATGGAGATCAACCCCTTGTCAGATGTATGTTTTGCAAATATTCTCTCCCAGCTGGTTGTTTGTTTGTTCATCTTGATTCTGGTTTCATTTGTCTTATAAAAGCTCTTTAATCTGATAAAGTCCCACTTGTTTATTTTTTCTTTAGTTTCCCTAGTCTGGGTAGGCATGTCATCCGAAAAGATTCCTTTAAAACCAATGTCAAATAGTGTGTTGCCTATATTTTCTTCTATGAGTTTTATAGTTTCAGGTCTCACCTTCAGGTCTTTGATCCATTTTGAGTTAATTTTTGTGAATGGCGATAGCACATGGTCCACTCTCATTCTTTTGCATGTGGCCGTCCAGTTTTCCCAACACCATTTATTGAATAGACTTTCCTTTTTCCATTGCATGTTCTTAGCACCTTTGTCGAAAATTAGGGCTTATGTAACTTTTAATTTCACTTGTGACTTCTTCATGTAACTTTCAAATTCTTGTTTGCCTTGATAAATTAGGCTCTTAGTAAATGCTGGTTGAATAAATGACAGAGTGAAATGGGACAGGAAGAGCGTGGGCCCTTCAGGATGAGGTAATTATGGTGGATGGCATCCTTATTGCTGTTCTTCCTCTATTTCCTATCTTTAATTTTTTTCCTTTCAGTATGAAAAATTTCAAACCTTCAGAAAAGTATAGTAGTGTAATGCCACCCGTATATCTATCATTTAGATTTGATAATAATAATTATTTTCCTGCCATATTTACTTAACTGCTGTGTTTGTTGAAGTATTTTATTTTTATTTATTTATTTATTTTGTGAGGAAGATCAGCCCTGAGCTAACATCCATGCTAATCCTCCTCTCTCTTTTTTTTTTTTTGCTGAGGAAGACCGGCTCTGAGCTAACATCTATTGCCAATCCTCCTCCTTTTTTTTCCTCCCAAAGCCCCAGTAGATAGTTGCATGTCATGGTTGCGCATCCTTCTAGTTGCTGTATGTGGGACGCAGCCTCAGCATGGCCGGAGAAGTGGGTGTGTCAGTGCGCGCCCGGGATATGAACCTGGCCTGCCAGTAGCGGAGCGCTCGCGCTTAACCACTAAGCCACAGGGCAGGCCCTGTTGAAGTATTTTAAAGTAAAATAGGGACATCATGACATTTTATCACAAATGCTTCAGAAGCAACTCTAAAAGGTGAGGACATTTTCATACTGAACTACACTTTCATTATCATCCTTAACAAAATTAATCACTTTCTCTATTTGTCCCCCAAATATTTTGATTTGTTCAAACCAGAATTCAAAGTCTGCGTACTGCATGTGGATGTTGTTTCTTTTGATACGGAACAGTCCCCCTATCACCTTTCTTTTTCATGAATTAAAAAGATTGGACCAATTGCCCTGTAGAAGGTCCCACTTTCTGCATTTATTTTATTGTTTTCTCATGATGTCACTTAACATATACCTCTGCTTCCTGTGTTTTCTATAAAGTAGAAGCTAAGTCTAATGGGTTGACTAGATTAAGGCTGAGTATTTTTGACAAGAATTCCTCATGGGTGGTGTTGTGTGTGTCATATTGCATCACATCAGGTGGTCCTTCATGTCTGCTTTTCTCAGTATTAGTGGTGTTAAGATTCATCTGAGTGTTAGGCTGGTGCCCATTGTAGTTGCTTTTTCTCCTCGTGACCTGTAAGCAACAGTGATTCTTTGGTGCTATGTGACTATCCAGTTCCCCATTAACTTTTCACTTACTGGTGGTGGCATCCTTGTCCAAATCAATTATGTAATTAGAAACTGTAATATGGCAGTAAGTTTTAATATATCCTTCCTTCTACATTGATTAGCTGACACTCTTCTGTTAAAAAAAAGAGCTTTCTCTCATCAACAAGGCTATTTGGATAGGGACAAATACGTGTTTTTTTTTTTTTTTTTTCTGGGGGTTTTCTCTTTTAACAACACTAAGGACTTGTGGATTTTTATATATACATCCTATTTCAATCAAGTACCATTATTATTCTTTTTGATGTTCAGATTGTTTCATCTTTGGCAGTGGGAGCCTCTTCAAGTTGGTTTCTGAGATCTTTTGACATCATCCCAGTCTGTGTTATCTTCTGTGCTTTCAGGCACTAGAAGATGTTCCAGGCTCATCTTGTACATTCCTTGCCCCAGACCTAGAAACTTCCATTTCTCCAAGGAGGCCTGGATCCTGTTAGCAGGGAATGGTGTTAAGCCCTTTCTCTTCTCTTGATTGGTGTAGCCACTTTTGGCTTTTGGAAGCACCTATCAGTTATTTCTGAGTCTATTTTATACCTCCAGTTACTCTTGTGAATTAGTTTAACAGGGAAAATAGCTCTTCCTAAGGGGTGTGTGTGTGTGTGTGTGTGTGTGTGTGTGTGAGATACAGAAAGAGAGAGAGGGAGGGAGAGAGGGAGGGAGAGAGGAAGAGACATTGATTTTGCCTGTGAAGACTGGCATATTTATTAGTGTGAGATTAAAGGGAGTATCAAAAGGGACTAAAAACATTGATGTCACCATGTTGGTGGTTTTCAGATCCCCAAGACCCTTCACTCTTCCTCCTGTGACCTTTGATCTTCCTGAAATTTCCCTGCAGCTGCACTGAAAAGGCCAGAGTGTTCGAGAGGGAGGGCTGATTGGAGACGAAGCAACAGCACAGACAGGCCTGGAGGATGGTTGAGGGGTGGTGGGGGTGGGCGGCCAAGGCTCAGAGGGAGGGTCAGGGCCACAGAGGATGTCCTCACCTAGAAGGACAATATGTAGGATCAGGCTCCTTTTAGGCCTCTCCAATGTCCCCTCAGCTTTGGACACCTCCTCAGGAAGCCACGGCTGCAAGCTGGATGTGAAGCTGTGGTCTGGTTGATAACATGCTGGTTGTGGGTGGTTCCTGGGTGTAGGAGACTGCTTTTCTTGGGCATGAATTGAGTCCTAAGGTGAAGGCAGAAAATAGGCCTCACAATCAAGGTGAGTGGAACTGGGACCCGAGGTCTCTAACTTCCCACATGTGCCTCTTCCAGGTGGAGAATAAAGCTACAAGGTAGCATCATAATGAAAATAATGGTAAAGACAACAAAGCAATAATTGTGGCTAACATATTATTTTCAGATGAGGGGAGGTTAAGTAACTCAGCCAAGGTCACACAGCATAGCAAATAAATTGAGGAGGCAAGACTCAAACCCTGCAGTGTGGGCAACTTTGTGAGTGAAGTCTTTCTCTGGGCAGCAGGGTCATGGAAATACAGCCGGGTTGTATTCCTGCCTAGGGCTCGGTTATATACTGGCTGCTGTGAACACCTGTATTCCATCCTCCCCAAAGGCAAGGGCAAGAGACAGGGATAGAGTAGGTGCTCAGCTGTAAAACTGAATTCTGGAGCAATGGGTCCTGACTCGTCTAACCCTTTGAGATGTTACTCAGGGCCGCTGCCCTGCTCCCATTCTCAAAGAACCTCCACGTTTCCAGGAGTACCATACTCTGACGTGGACTCGATGTATTTCTGTGCCCAGCCACGCTCTCTGGAGGCTCTGCTCCTGGCTTGGATTACTCAGAACTGGAAAATGCCAGATTGGGTCATGGATAAGAATAGAAACTCACAGACCAGGCACATGCTTCCCCGCTGGGCTCTGGCGCGTGTCATGGGCACAGAGCCACCTTGTGCTGGCTACTGCTTCCCCACAGGTAGGATGTGGTGGGGATGATGAGGCCATCCTCCCAGCAAAATGCCATGGTCAGTTTCTATTCACACACACTCTCACACATTCACACACACACTCACACATTCACACACACACATACACACACACACACCCCTCCCCATCCTAAGCTATTAGTAGTAGGACCATCAGGTAATTGTAGCATCACACCAGAGTAACACAGAGATAAGGACACTCTAGAGGTCAGCTTTATTTAACGCTTGGCCTGACATAGGCAAGGGAGCAGGTATGGCGGCTACAAAGAAATTTTCCAACCTCTTGGCGTTTAGGAAGAGCCTAATTTATATGCTCCCAACCCTCCCTTGCTGCTGTACCAATCCATCTTGTTCCTTTGTAACCAGAACACTAATGACACCCATGATACATACTTCCAGAGCCAGTTCTTTCCAGGAGTGTTTATCAGCTCTAGGGTATTTTGAGACTTTGTGTGTGTGTGTGTGTGTGTGTGTGTGTGTGTGTGTGTGTGTGTGTGTGAGAGACTGTTGTCTAGGAAAGTCAGAGTCTGGGCATGAATAGGACTGCTGCCCCTGTGTCTGGGAGTGACTTTAGGGGTGCTGTCTGCTGTTATCACTGGTTCTTCCTTTGATCTCCTTCATCAGCACAGGGTTTCATGGTTTGGAATGAGCTCCTGCTTCCTCTGTCCAGCAGCCCTCATTTTCCTTTTCCTAGTGCAAAGGATTAACCCTGGAAAGCACCCTTTAGAGCAAACCACAAAACCATGGTTCTTTGTGGAGTTGGCACCAGATACAGTGGTGCCCAGACACCGGAAACCTCAGCCCCTACCTGGTTCTGGGATGGCATGGCTGGAGGGGTAGATGTCCTGCTAGTGGAAAGTGAGGGAGGGACAAGTGCTCACATGCGCGGACAAGGGCCAAAGGCATGGCCAGGGGCCCAGGACTCTCTAACCTCGACTCTACACACTCCCCACAGCGGGAATGCATATCTGTCCACGTGGGTCAAGCGGGAGTTCAGATTGGCAATGCTTGCTGGGAGCTCTTCTGCCTGGAACATGGCATCCAGGCAGATGGCACCTTTGGTGTGCAGACCAGCAAGATCGACGACGACGACTCGTTCACCACCTTTTTCAGTGAGACTGGCAACGGGAAGCACGTGCCCCGGGCTGTCATGGTAGATCTGGAGCCTACTGTGGTGGGTGAGTATGGGCTAGGATCCTCTCCACGGAAAGCACCCGTGAAGCTGCAGAGGCTTGGGCTCATGATTGCTACGGAAGCAGAATCTCTAATTGGAAGGACTCAACTAGAGTTCCCGCACCCCACCCCTGTTAGCTCCTTGAATTCTTCACGGTCTGGGGACTCTTCCAGTAGGGATCAGGGATCTCTGCTCCCACTATAGCTCTAAGCTATGCAGAACAAAGCGCACTCTGCTTAAACTCCTTAAACCTGCTGAGACAGACCGAGATTGTCAAGATTCTTTACTAAATACTAAGGGCAAAAAATATAAATAATTTTAGAAATTATAAGAAGCCTCCACATGGTCAATTTCCCAAAGTATAGGTTTCTGATTCTATAATAATTGCAGTCTGTTCTCACAGGTCTGTATCTTGCACATGAAATGGAGTAACAGTAGGCACATTCTCTTATAGCCAGAGGTTGCTGTAGTTCTAGAATATGCCTCATTAGGATCTTGGAAAACAGGAATTCTGACTTGTGTTGGGACAGGATTCTTGCTGCTTCCCCTCTTCCCCCTCTCCCCCCTGAGTCCCCTCCTCCCAGGGCCACTTCCTCTGGGTGTGGCCCCTCGGTCAGTCCTTAGCTTACATCAGGATATCCTCAGCTTCAAGGCTGGCTCACCAAGCAAGGGGTGGACAGGCTCCACAGAGCATTTGGGCAAATGCCTGTCATGCCTGTATAATAATTTCCAACAGACTACAGGTACCCACCCCTTGGATACTCTGTACAAATACAAGAAGTGCAGATTACTGCGGCCGGCCCCATGGTGTAGTGGTTGGGTTCGGCACACTCTGCTTCAGTGGCCCGGGTTCGCGGGTTTGGATCCCAGGCATGGACCTACACCACTTGTCAGCCATGCTGTGGTGGCAACCCACGTAAAAAATAGAGGAAGACTGGCACACCACGTTAGCTCAGGGACAATCTTCCTCAAGGAAAAAAGAGGAAGATTGGCACAGATGTTAGCTCAGGGCGAATCTTCCTCAGCAAGAAAAAAAAGTACAGATTACCTTCCCAGGCCATGGCACAAATGGGTGATTTCCCTGGGGGTGGTGGGGAGAGTGACCATGAAGAGAAGAATGGATGTAGTTGGGGCCTGATGCATCTTGGTCAGGCACATGCATGCCCACTTTGTGTGGACCCTGGGAGGTGAGCAGAACACCCTTGTCAGCCTCTCTAGGGCTCCTGCTCTTCTAGAACCTGGAGCATAGCTTTGCTTCCAAGTCATTGTAAAATATCTCTACTGCCTGACATACATTATTGCCACCTTGAGGTGGAGGTTAAGGGTGGGACAATTCCTGGGAGAGCCTAGGAACTGGGCAGATCACCCTGAATCTTTCTCTGTGTCCCTAGAACATTTTAATGCAAATGAAGTGGGGTTAAATTTTTGGGTAACCTCGCAGCATGACAGAAGAAAAAAAAAGAGAAGCCTAAAGGGGTCAAGGTAGAAAGGAGAAGCATTCAACTTTGGTGTGTGGTGAGCTCTGTAAACCTAAGACTTTTTAAGGTTCCAGCCAGCAGAGTAGCTGACTTCTCACTGCCTGCTTCAGTCACAGACTTCAGGCTCTCTTAGTGCCTGTGTTACCCCAGAATTCTCCTAACCTTTTGTAGATTTATTATAGGGTTGTCTGGTTTCACCTCAGTGGAGTTTTACAGGTAGGAGAAATGGAGACCCAGAAGCGTGTCATGTGGTATTCTAACGGGGAGAGAGGCATCTCCTCTGGAAACCAGGAAGTAAGACCTAATGGTCCCCTTCTCTTGGTAGATGAGGTTCGGGCAGGAACCTACCGCCAGCTCTTCCATCCAGAGCAGCTGATCACAGGAAAGGAGGATGCAGCTAACAACTATGCCCGTGGCCACTACACGGTAGGCAAGGAGAGCATCGACCTGGTGCTGGACCGCATACGAAAGCTGGTAAGAGTTAACAAGGACAGGGGGTTGGTGAGTCAGGCTCAAGTGGACAGGCTTGGACTCAAACCCCTCTGAACAGGCTTGGTAGAGGCACGTGATCCTTGGCTACAGCATAAAGTTCCTAAGATTTGAGAATTTCTGCTTATGTTCTGAAAGAAGCATTCACGGGGATGGTGCCCCTTCTTCTGCCTGGACATTATGGACTACCCTATAGGCTGATGACCTGTTAATACTTATTGATACTCTGTGGTAGTATCTGGGCGAGATTCCAGGTATAAGGAAGGCTGAGCTCTTTGTTTGTTGGAAGCATAGGTTAACAAAGCATTTAACTTGGAAGAGAAGAGGAAGAGATTGTTGATATATTTCAGCACTTACAAATGCCATTACAAAGTCATTAAATACATGTGTTTGTTTAATCCCCTTCATGATGATACGAAGGATCTCTCTTCTCTCTACTTGAAGAAGAAATCGAGGGCCAGCATGGTTTAATAACAGCCCAGGTCACACAGCTGGAAAATGGTAGAGTTAGGATTTGACCCAGGTTGGCTTGACCAGAAAGCTCTGAGGTGTAGGGTGGGCCACTTTATCTATTTGAGCCTCGTTTCCTTATCTGTACGGTGGAAAAGGTTGGACTTGATCAAGGGTTCTTCACTTGGGAGCTAAGGATGCCAGATTTTTGTATATGTTCACCTTTTATGTTTAGAGGAGGGCTCATCAGTCTCAAAGCCATCTGTGCTCCCCAAAAGTTCAGAACCACTGGACTGAATGATCATAGATCATATCCAGTGGGAAAATTCTATGACTATGAATTCTCTGAGTTCTGATAAGCACTAACATTGAGTGCTTACTCCATGTCAAGTCCTTGCTCAGCACATTACGCTATCTCATTTAATTATCACAATAACCTTAAGAAATGAGTATTTTTTATTGTCCTCCCTTTAAACAGAGGAAACAACAGTTTGGAGAGGTTCCAGTTTTTACAACTGGAAAATGGCAAAGATGATATTAAAACTCAGGTTCTCTGACTCCATTTATATTTCTGAAATTGGTACCCTGAGCCACCTTCCAAGGTTGGGCTGAGATGTGCAGGTCAGCAGTTCCCACAAAATCAAATGACAACTACAGGGGAAGTGGGCAAGGAGTTGGGGCTTTCAAAGGGCAAAGTCATTAACCACTGTGGTTCTGCAACTCTCATTCCTGGTTCAACCAAGCCACTGGGCTGGAGCTTTCATGTACCTAGAGGCATGTGCATGTGCAATTTGACACCCCATATTTTAGCTAGTCCTCCTAAGATCAATCTAATTCCCTTTCTGTTTCCTTGCTCCTTCAAGGCTTATTTTGATTTCACTCCCATAGAAGTGTTGAGGGATGGGGTGGCAGTGCCTGCCTTGGTCCCCCTGAGGGTATTCTCAGAAACTCGTCTTCATGGTTTCCTCTCACGTCCTACTCTCCTAGACAGAGGCCTGCTCCGGCTTGCAGGGCTTTCTGATCTTCCACAGTTTTGGTGGTGGCACTGGCTCAGGCTTCACTTCTCTGCTGATGGAACGCCTTTCCCTGGATTATGGCAAGAAGTCCAAGCTAGAGTTTGCTATCTACCCGGCCCCCCAGGTCTCCACTGCCGTGGTCGAGCCCTACAACTCCATACTGACTACCCACACCACACTGGAACATTCAGATTGTGCTTTCATGGTGGATAACGAAGCCATCTATGACATCTGCCGCAGGAACCTAGACATTGAGCGCCCCACGTATACCAACCTCAACCGCCTCATCAGCCAGATTGTGTCCTCCATCACTGCCTCTCTCCGCTTTGATGGGGCCCTCAATGTGGACCTCACTGAGTTCCAGACCAACCTGGTGCCCTACCCCCGCATCCACTTCCCCCTGGTCACCTATGCACCCATCATCTCTGCCGAAAAAGCCTATCATGAACAACTCTCTGTGGCTGAGATTACCAGCTCCTGCTTTGAGCCCAACAGCCAGATGGTGAAGTGTGACCCGAGACATGGCAAGTACATGGCCTGCTGCATGCTCTACCGGGGGGACGTGGTGCCCAAGGATGTGAATGTCGCTATTGCTGCCATCAAGACCAAGAGGACCATCCAGTTTGTAGACTGGTGTCCCACAGGTTTTAAGGTGAGAGCTGATGACTTAGGCAGGAGACAGACAACTAGAGAAGCAGAGAGAGATTACCAAGGATGGGGGACAAAGATGTGTAAATTCCAGGGTCTTGGACTGATATACAATTCCACGGGGGCTTCAGGTTTTATGAGATGATATGGGAAGAATGGCTTAAATCAAATGTAACGTTAATTTCATTCATTCATTCATTTAATTTAGGTAAGGAGAGACTTCATTTGAAAGGATTATTGAAAGAAGGGGAGGAGGACTATTGCAATAGGCAGATGGGCACTACTGCACTAGGGAAAAGGCTTCCACTTCTCCTGCCCTCAGATCCGCAAGCATCTCAAAGATCAGGTAGAAAAGGGCTTTTCTTTTATAAGGAGGAGTGAACAAGGCTAGAAAGAACCTGTGTGGGGAAGTGGGATGAACAGGCCAAATGGGTGGAGGTGGCCGTGATCTGATGATAGATCAGAGAACGGAGTTAACACAGAGAGGTATAATTTCCTCCTCTAACAAAAGATGTCTTCTTCTCTCAATTTATTTTGAAAAGTTAAATATTCACCCTGTAGGTCTTAATCAATTTAGAGTAAGGATAAGAAATTTTATGGTTATTATATGATTGTGAATCACTTATATTATGAAGCCCTGACATTTTCCATTGACCAGGAGTAAGCAGGAGCTGAGGAAGCCTGTTGTAGATCAGGAGAATGCCAGACTCGGAGGGTTAGAGGGGAGATATAGAACAGCCAGGGAAGACTTTGGGATCCCAGGACTAGTGAATGTTGACTGTTAGCAACATTGTGGCTAACAATGGCACTGGCCGGGCAGGCAGCGGCTCTGCACATGTGAACTGCTTGACCACTCTGTCCTGTGTTCCTATGGTTTTTAATTAGATTTCAATATCAAAATAACTACCACCATTTACATTGATTAGTACCCCCCAGTCATGCCTTTAATAGTTCAGAGGTTTACAGAGCACGAGGGGTGGTTGTACCATTTTCTGGAGATACAGAGATGAGCATGTCTCAGTTTTTCATTGGTGGGACTTACAAAAACAAGGCACCATGTGCCAGCCTCTTGGCTGATCTATTTGCATATGAGGCTTTGACCCAGCTGATCTGCTGAATAAGGGAGCATAGCATTCTTCCTCACTGCTCTACTCTTAGCTACATATATAATCTTTTCCCCCTAGACTATGCCTATTTTTTCTTTTTCAAATGGAAACAAACAACAAAACAAGCTATTAGGAAAATGAATAGGAAAAAAGTTAAAATATGACATACGAGGCTTGTGGGAGAGTTAACAAAAAGGAGCTGGTGCTTCACACTCTCGCCTTCATTTTAAGCTGAAGCTCTGGTGTTATGTCCAGAAAGATGAGAAGGTAGTGCTAGCATCTTTAGCTGCTTTTCAGGAAAGCACGTGCCATGGGGGTGGATGTTGTGGAACTTCATCCTCTTGCATCCTCCCCAAGGATGTTTGTCCCCACTTGACTCCGGTCAAGAGTTACTACTGTTCAAGAAAGAGGAGAGTTGGCTCTAGGCACAAAGTTTTTGCTAGTCAGGGCCAGATCTAGTAATATATATGATGTGGCAAAGTTTATATTCATTGCCCTTCCCCTTCTCATTTTTGGTCCCTTGCCCCGTCTCAGCATCCCTTCCACCACTAAGATGCCCCTTTGTCTAAGAGGAATGATAGACCACTGTGAATTCATGTAATCGGTTACCCACCTTGCTGTATAGCCTGCTGCAACTCCCACCTCCACCTCTCAAGAGGACATGCATTTTAAAGCTGTGAATTTCAGAGACTGATAATTAAGGCATGGTGACCTGGGTAGGAGAGGTATTTTTCAGACAGTACCATGGTTCTCAGTGTCCCATAAATATTATCACAGTGTGTGACCTTAGACTTTTTCCGGTTTCCTACAGTTCCTGGGGTTTGCTTTGGTTTATGATATGTGTGTGGGGAGAAGGGAGATTTCTAGAATAGTAGCCCCACTAACAGGTTGGGCTAGGGTTAGCTCGGAGGACCCTGTCACGCCACCAGAACTTGGGAAATTGGCTCGTCCAGACGAGAGTTTTAACTAACTTTCTTTGACTAGAGTCCTTGCTTTTTTCCAAGAAGCCCCACTCCCCAGAGACATAGGGCCTGGTTAACACTAACACCATCCCCAAGATCCTCTGGATCTTTTTATTTATTTTATTTATTTTTCATTTATTTTTCACGGAATATCTCCATGACCTTTTACATAGCCCTTCACCCTTGGCAGAGAAACTTCCCTAAATTTATTGACAGCGTAACTAAGAGGAATTTCAGATGACCATTTGGGAAAGAATAAACTTTATAATAACTTCAAGTTTAGAAATTAATTTGCCTCTAAAAGGAATCGACTTCCCTTTTACAGATAAACATATATTGTACGCCTCCCTCTTAACAATCTCATTCATTACCCTCCTTGGTCTGCTTGAGTCTCCCCACTAACATTTCTACTTATTACCAGCCCTGTTCTCCTCCTTTTCTTCTCCAGTCTTCAGATTCCCCAGCCCCTCCTCTTGAATTTGCCTGTACCCAATCCCACTCATTTTCACTTTCTCTTCAACACTCATCTCTCTAGCTGCCTGCCTTCCCAACCTCCCGATGCCCGCTTTTCCCATCCAGTCCTGTTCTCACACACGACCCTGTCTGCTACCAACCTGTTACCAAGAGCCCCCATCTTGAGTTATCCTTTGACTGCCTTGCATCTTATTTTGTTGCTCTTCTTCTTTCTCTGTTCCTCAGGTGGGCATCAACTACCAGCCACCCACCGTGGTGCCAGGAGGGGACCTGGCCAAAGTCCAGCGGGCTGTCTGCATGCTGAGCAACACCACGGCAATTGCGGAGGCCTGGGCCCGCCTGGACCACAAGTTTGACCTCATGTATGCCAAGCGGGCCTTTGTGCATTGGTATGTTGGAGAGGGAATGGAAGAAGGAGAATTTTCCGAGGCCAGGGAAGACCTGGCTGCCCTGGAGAAGGATTATGAAGAAGTGGGGACTGATTCATTTGAAGAAGAAAATGAAGGGGAGGAATTTTAAATATACACATTCCTCTTGGCCATGTCTCTTTATTTATGCTGCTCCACTCCAAGCACATTTACCTATTCCAAGAGTAATAGGCCATACTCCCAACCTCAGCCTGATTCCTGTCTCACATAGGAGGAGGGTGTCTGACACCAGTACTCATGGGTACTGGCTGAAAATTGATGCTGAGCTCTGTCAGACCCTCTCCTGGGTAAGAACAGCTTTGTGTCACTAAAGAAAATGAGGATCACTGTCTCTGGGTTAGAGTGAAGCCAAGTTACACACGTGAGGAGGCCTGATCAGCATTTTTAATTCTGGATTAGGCTGTGTCCCCCCTCCCCTCCTCCCCCTGCCCCAACACAGCCTGTTGGCTAGGGAATGGTAAAACACTCAGGAAAGGAAAGACCTGGGCATTGGGAAGATTCCAGGAGGGGAGTGCCACTGTTCTAAGAGCTAGAGAGTTAGTGAGAAACAAGAGAGACACATTTCCTGCTCTCGTAAATACACAAATAAATGAATGAGATCATTTCAGATAGTGCTGAGTGATGTGAAGTAAGAGAACAGCGATGAGAAAGTGCTGGGGGAGTGCTCCTTTAGACTGGGGGTCAGAGAAGGCCTCATGGAGACCTGAAGGAGAGGAAAGAGCCATGATGTGAAGAGCTGGAGTCAGAGGGTGCTGTCAGGCGGCCACATACATGTGGGAACAAGCTTGGAGGATCTAAGAACAGAAAGGAGGTCAACGTGCCTGGAGGACAGTGAGAGATGGAGATGAGACCCAAGAGCCAAGAGGGACCAGAGCATATTCAGCTTTATAGACCATGGTAAGGAGTTTCGACTTTTTTCTAAGTGAAACAGAAGCATTAGGAAGGTTTTAAGCAGGATATCTACCATACTTTATGTACATACATACCTTACCTCTGATCCTCCCAAATATCTCAAAATGGATATTCTGCTCATTTTACGGATGAAGAAACCGAGGTTTAGAGAGTGTATGTCTTGGAGACAGTAAGAGATGGAGCTCAGATAGCAGGGACCACCAATTCTATTCTTTTCTCGACCCTACATTGTTTCTATCCCTTGGCGTTTGTGCCAGGGTCCAACTGCTGCCTCATAAAATGACGGATAGAGGAAAAACAAAAGTCTATATCGTTTACAAAGGAGAGGACCAGTTAATGAATCTCTTCCCTGAAGTTGGCAGCTCTGGTAGGATTTTAGGAAAAATCAAAAGGCTGCTTTTAAAGTACTGGTAAGATAGCCAGGGTTAGGCCCATAGTACGTCCCTATGCATTAAATGTATACCTCGTTAATTGCTGACTTCCCGTAAATGTTTCTATTCTATCCTTAGAAGCCCTGAGAAAAATAGAATAAAATGTTCCAAGAAAAGGAAGATTAGGTAAGAAGTGATGCTAATCACCTTTCCTCTAGATTTATGTGAATTAGGTTAAAATAAGCACAAATGGCAAAGTCACAGAAGTGACGTCTAAGAAGTACGAGTAACGGGGGCTGCAGGCAAGTTGAAGAGATGCTGATACACAAGGGCCTTGGAGGTCTTTTCCCCCAGTGTCTCCCCTCCCATTTTTCCTCATTTGGTCGAGGGCCTGTCCAGTCATGGGGTTGGGCACCTCTAGCCCTGCTCAGCTTTTATGGCTCTGTTCATGAAGGAGGACTGTGGAATTTTAGAACTGGCGATAAGTGTCCCCACAAAGGGGGTAAATAGGAAAGTGGGTAATTCTCCACCATTCCCCGTGATAGGCAGCTTCATAATCCTTTCTCCAGCAGAGGATTGGTTAGAGGTTTCTTAAGACTGGAAAGCAAGTTTGGCAGACACTAGATAAGAGAGTTGTGGCTTTGGTAGGCTGCTGGTGTAGCTCAATGGGTTTTAGCCTGGATTATCCAGTTTCTTGAATCCTAATGCCAGCTCTTAGGGACACCTAAGTCATTTTCACCTACAGAGAAAAAAAGTAATTTTTGCTTTTTTATACTTTACTCCAGGAATTAGAAGAGTCCATAGTTAACATAATATCCAGTGAAATCATCTTTCGTTTTCTGCCCCACTTTCTCAATGTATTTCTTGGTTCTTTCTGGTTTGGGAGCATGGGTGTTCATATGCATCCCTCACCCCAGCGTTTGCAGTGCTGGGTCCTGAATGCTCGACAATGGAGACAGATCTCCAGCCTTGTGACAGCATCAGCTTAGGTCCCAAAATGAACCTTCTGAGAAAGAAGTTAGTATGCTTATTTTCTCCAAACTCCTGATTCTATCAGCAATTTGATCAGCATTTAACTTTTCTCTAACACAAAATTGCCACTAGCCCCACTATTCTGAGTTTTTAAGGGTCACTGAGTCAACCTAATGGAACTGCTTTTCCTATTACAATGGAAAGCTACTAAAGGGATCAAAAACTTCCCTTTTTGTGTTGTGAGTCCAAACTGTCTACATTAAAAAAAAAAATAGTGCTATAATTAGCTTTTTTAAAAGACCTTGTGACAAATTTATGATGTTGACCATTTTAGGGATGATGCATGTGAGTGTGAGAGAGCCAGTGGGGCAGAAAGGGAGGATATCAGTGCTGATGAGTAAATTGTGTAGTGCTTAGGATAGCCGTCCTTTTCTTTTGCAACAGAATCCTCAAGAGGAAAGGTGAACTCTCACTTATGCACATTTTTTCATGAGTATGTAGAGTGGAACTCCTTATGTGACCTTCTATATGTTGTCTTTGGGGCTTAGACACTGAAGTCTAAACCGTAAGGCTGCTGGTTTGGCTCATGGTCAGTGAGGCAGAACACGGTCTCCCTAAGCAGGTTCCATTATCTCGCAATGGGGAAAAATAAAAACACATAAAATGGCCTTCCTTACAAATGCCAGTGCAAAAATTACTAGTAAAATATTAGTAAACAGAAGTCATACCACACTAAAAAAATACAGCACAACCAAGAGGGATTTATTCCAGGAATTCAACCATGGTTCAATATTAGGAATTCCATCAGTCTTAAAGCCAGCATCTTAATGGGGAAACACTAGAGGCATCCCACTAAGGTCAAGAACAAGGCAAAAGTGCAGGATGCCTGGTGTCTCCACTCCTCTGTAAATTGTACTGGAAGTGTTAGCTAATGCAATTAGATAAGGGAAAGCCATTAGAAGAAGAATAATTGAAAGTGAAGACATAAAACTATCTCTGTTTGTAGATGATCTGTTTGTACATTTGGCAAATCCTGTGCAATAAGAGTGAAAAACAAAATGTGTCGGAAAAGTAGCAGGATATTAACTTCCAAGAATTAATAGCCTTCATTTTACAGACACAATAATCAGTTGGGATTATTGTGAAAACCTCCATTAACAGCAACAAAAAGAGAAATACTTAGAAATTACAACTTAACAAGAAATATTTAGAAGACTTTATAAGAAAAACTTGAAACTCAAAGACACAAAAGTACACAAGAAAATTTAAAGACATTCCTTATTATTGGATAGTAACTCTCAACAAAATAAACATATTATTCTCACTAAGTTAATTTATAAATTTAATGCAGTCCAGTAAAAATGCCCATGACCTTTTTTTTTTTTAAAAAATCTTTTATTGTGAAATAATTATAGATTCATAGGAAGTTGCAAAAACAGTACAGAGAGGTTGAGTGTACCCTTTACCCAGTTTCCTCCAATTATTGTATTTTACATAATATCAAAACCAGGAAAGTGACATTGACACAATGTGTGTGTATCTCTATGCCATTTTATCACGTGTAGATTTGTGTAATTACTACTCCAATCATGATGAGGAACTGTTCCATCACCATAAAGCTCTCTCCCCTGCTATCCCTCTATAGTCACATGCATCCCCTCCCCCAACCACCCTTAACCACTGTCAACCACTAATTTGTTTTCCATCTCCATAATTTGTCACTTTGAAAAAGTTATATAAATGGAATTATATAGGATGTAAGTTCCCTTCTATTCCTAGTTTTCTAAGAGTTTTAAATAATGAATAGGAGTTGAATTTTGTTAAATGCTTTTCTTGCATCAGTTGATATGATTGTGTGATTTTCTTCTTTAGCCTGCTAAAATGGTGGAGTACATTAATTTTTGAATATTCAACCAACCTTGAATCCCTGGAATAAAACCCTACTTGGTCAAGGTATATAATTCTTTTTATATATTGATGAATTCTATTTGATAATATTTTGTGCAGGAGTTTTGCATCAATATTCATGAGGGACATTGGCCTGCAGTTTTCTCTTTTTTGTATTGTCATTGTCTGATTTGGTATCGGGTAATCAGGTCTCATAAAATGAGTGGGGAAGTGTTCCCTCTTCTTCTATTCTCTGGAAGTGTAGAATTGATGATAATTCTTAAAAGACTTCGTAGAATCCTACGGTGAAACCAACTGGGCCTGGACATTTCCTTTTTTGGGAGTTTTAAAAATTAAAAGTTCTATTTCTTTAAAAGTTATAGGGTTATTCCAAGTATTTCTTTCATATTGGTGAGTTGTGGTAGTTTGTACTTCTCAAAGAATTGGTCCAGTTCAAATAAATTGTCAAATTTATGTGCGTAGAATTGTTTGTAGTAGTCTCTTATTATGCTCTTCTATCTGTAGGGACTCTAGTAGCATCCCCTGTTTAATTCCTGATATTGATAATTTGTATCTTCTCTCTTTTTATCTTTGTCAGTCTTGCTAGAGTTTTGTCAATTTTATTGATCTTTTCAAAGAATAAACCTTCAGTTTCTTTGATTTTTTTCATTGTGTATCTGTTTTTTTTTTTTATGAATCATAATTTTTAGCTTAGCTCTCTCTTATTGTGTATCTGTTTTTAATTTTATTGGTATATGTTCTTATCTTTATTATTTTCTTCCTTCTGCTTGCTTGGGGTTTATTTTGCTCTTGTTTTTCTAGTTGCTTTTTTTTTCTTTATTGTGAAATTTTTGTTGCACATGACTGTTTGTCAGTCACCATATAAATGCATCCCTTCACCCCTTGTGCCCACTCCCCACCCCCCTTGCCCCTGGTAACCATCAAACAGTTTTCTCTGTCCGTGTGT